CAATCATCGTCGTGTTATGAGTTGTTTCATCCCGTACATCAGCTTAATTGTCTTCAGTCGATGCTGCAGCTTCAGTTTCTTCTGCAGATAGTATTGTTTGTTGGTAGTGTTAGGAGATTTGGGATTTCTCCGTGCGGAGATTTCGTCCTGTAAGTGAAGTCAATTTATGCTGAAAAGCCGAGAAGCACTGTACAGCTGTTTTGTCCTTATTGGGATTCATCGGCAGTGCGCATCTTACGAAACCCGCGACCTTCTGGCTAGTGGTTGAAGCGCTCAACCGTCCGACCACGAGCGGCTGATCAGTAATGTGATTAACTCGCATTTAGACAGGATATAGCGCCACTCATACTTCAATCACGGGACCAACGTCACGCGGTCAAAAGTGCTGACTGGCTCCTCGAGCAACGAATTCTCATATGGATGTTTCACTCATCGGGTGAAATTTAGTCCTCCATCAGCTGCTTAATTTTTTTGCGGGATTTCGTCCTTTAAGTGATATCGTATGCTTATCTAAAAACAAACTAATCCGAAGGTTTAGTCGGTCTTAGTTAAGAGGACTCCACTGATATGCTGGACCAGTGTTTCAGTAGTGATAATCACATAATCGGTTTCAAGGGATGATCCGCCGATAAACTTCATTGCAGTGTTTCTATTTGAGAAAGTGTGAAAGAGTGTATTTCTTCTAATTCCGTGGGATAGCGTTCCCGAAGAAGGGTTGTACAGAGAGAAATTCCACATCCAACGGTGTCCTCTCAAGGAGGGCGTGTCCCTTTTGCGAGGATGTTAAGAGGGTAAGTACTGTATGGACAATCTACAGTTCCTGAATTCTACATAGAGGTTTTTTGGATCCATACAGAGATCGGAGATTTTGGTTCTACGAAAAGTCAGGCGAGTAGTGTATAAAAAAACAACATAACACATGTTACTAGTAAAGTAAAGAAAAATTCGGAAAGTCGCCTGTAGCGAAGTGAGAAAAGGGAATTTTTCATGTTTTATTTCATAATTTTGGAGAGTAGTTGTTTTTTCATTGTTTCCTGGAAGAACCAAGCGATTTGGTACCATATGCACATCTATATATGAGTTAGATCTTAAACTGCCAAATGGAGCAGCCTTCCAGCACGGATCCTTTGACCAGAGGCGTTTCCAGGATATACGCTTTTCGATAATAAGACGTTGGGTCAGAAAACAAAGTGTTTTGTGGCTTGATCTCCTTTGGAAGTATTCACTACAGAGGAGATAGTCTCGACCGTCATTACAAAAACGAACCGCCAAATAGTTAGTGGTTCCAAGACGTATACTCACATTAAAAACCATTTGAATAACGGCGCACGTTTTACTCACCGAATAAACGATACTAGCGCACCGATGACAACCGCTGCATCGATGAGGTTCCAGCTGTCACGACAATAGGAATTCGGATGGAGGAATACACCCAGATCAATGAGCTAAAAGCAAGGAAGGTTAATGTATGAACAGAATTGCACAGTTCAACAAAAAGAATGTTTGTGGACCGAAGTAAATGTTTTTGGCATAAATGTTGGTGCCTAAGAGGACGAAGGCAGTTGTACATCTACTGTGTGCAGTCGGAGGAAATCAAACATGAAATCATGTTTGACACACGAGTAGCATTCAGTAAACAGAATATCACTTGTTAGTGACACTTTCCGAGAAGAATAAACGGGATAGCTTAGAGTGATGGGCGAGCCCCAATTTACAGCTAATCCCATTATCAATTTCTCAAGCACCAAGTTTCTCGGAGTGAATGTCACCGGTCAATATATCACTTATTCAGTGCTAATTAGTCTAACCTCTCAAAACACCGGTGACAAGTAATAAATGAACAAGTTGTTAGCTCATGTCCACGGTAGGGTGAATTATTCATCAGAATGCATAAAATTTCACTCTCTGTGACAAAGAAACCCTCTGGTCCACGAGAAAACACCATCGATTTTTGAGAAAAGAAAATTGGTGCGTGACGAATTTAATTGCTGTCAGCTGGATGCACCAAAAAAGGATAGCTACGGGTAGAGGAATCCAGTGCCTCATTTTATCCTGGGATGGATGGTTGACTAGGCAAAAAATAACGTATTTGACTGCGTAAGTAATCAACGGCAAGTTGTCGTTTGTGAGGGGAGAATTCAATTTGCTATCCTGCTGTGGAAAAATTCAATTTGTGCACTCAACTGGAAACCCAGTCCACATTTACTTGCAAATAAACAAACAGTATATGCTGTGGACAATACTATTGTCTTACTCTCCTAAAACTGCCAGAACATTGAGCCTGTTCAGAAAGCTAGAGTAGAGTACCAAGTGTAATGAAGTTGGGAGAACAACACATATCACTCAAACAGGAAAATGTTTGCCCAGTTAAAATATGGTGAGTCAGGGGCGTTTAGTTAATGGCGTGGTGCACTGATGGCTTTTTACTCTCGGGTATCACGCAACTGATATCTGAATTTTAGTGTAACCGGGATCATACATCACTTTCTCACTTCATTAAAGACAAAACCCGATTCTGCTGCTAACCATACTGCTTTCTTCCGAATGGATAGTAGTGTTTAAAAAGAGAAAAAAGAAAGCCTAACAAAGTCATTTGTAAATTTTTGTTCACAATACCGTTCGACTAAATGATCGAGGAAGTATTCCCTCAGTGAGCTGAGATTGATTAGCCGATGTTTTCAATTTTTAGCTTGAGTTATTTCCGTCGGTCACCTATTTACTCTCGCTTCGGTCTGCATCGGAATCGTGTTATTCCGCTTGATAAACATCGCTCGTTTTTTCCCTCTTCCAAGAGTTCCCCAGTTTGTGAGAAACTCGTGTGAAGCTATCATGGATCATAGCTAGTCAACCCGGTTTTCCTCTTCCTCCTACCTTAGCTTTGGTTATGCGAGATGACACTGTTGACAATTTGCTCTCTACCCCACTTATCTTCCTCAAAAGTGGATATCAAATGTCCGACGCTGATCGATCAAACGACAACAACACGTGTTCGTTTTTAACCGAATCGCCTACCGAACGCTTTGTTTCCAAACCAACTTGGTTCCGGAAATTTGCATAGTTTTGTTTATCCTAGCTTTGTTGGGTATGCTATTCTGCATGTGAGAAACACCAAAAGTTGCTATGTATGGATTTTTCATCAGTGCACGTCAACGAATTGACAAACGGGGTATTCTTTGAAAAAGGTTAGATATAATCGGGCAACACCAAACTTGACATGTGTATGTTTTTTGCAACTCGTTATTCCCCACGGCGATTTTTCGGTCAAGAACGAATGGATTGTTGATGGCTGTGAACATTCAGATGCAGCTGAACAGATTCAATAGCTTATCCAGTTAGGGATAACTGACTTCCTCAAGATTACATATCATCCGTAGTTCCAATGGACAGTACTAATTGCTCAAATAAATGCTACGCACCTGAAGGGTCACTTGGTAAGTTGAATCGAGGGTTGGTATGATATTCTTGCAAGTAGGAAGGTGACAAGGGATCCAAGAAAGCGCTGAAGAGAAATCGAGCTTCCCGCAACTATTAAAAATAACTGTCTTTCACGGTTTTTGTTTTTTGAGCAGTTCAGAATAACTTATTTGTCGTGGGCTGGTTAATACACCAACAATTGTCTGAAAGTTTCCGTCACGGGACCCTCCAGTACTTTTTTGTTGAGCAGTTTGTTGCACAGAGTATGTTATTTATGTTTCAGCCAAGAAGCGAATATCGGTTGAAACCACTAACATCAATCTTCTTGCTTGTTTGACATAAACCGGAGTGGCACACAACCCGTTCGTTAAGCCAGAATGGAGATTCCCATCGAATGCTCACAAAAGGTGATGTCAGCTGCTGACAGGAATATGTCGATCATTCCAGCTCAAAGATTTCTCGGACTAGAGGTTTCACGGTGCAGCTGCATCGACTGACAGTGAAGTCATCAGGTTCAGGCACGGCCGTGTGATGAAGGCAGGCATATGAATTTGCACAAAGTCAATATTCGTCTTGTCGTTTTGGATAGATTCAGACAGACTTTCCTGTGCGCTGATTCTCAACGCAGTGCAGTGAACAAGTGGATCAATGGAGGATTAGATTAGATTTCTCTTCGTCTGCACCTTCAAAAAAACGGTTCGTTTGGTTTTCCAGTTCGGCTCGCCTGCCTGTAATCTTGTTATCTTGG